TTTATATTTCTTTATAATTATCACAGCTGTGGAGTCTTGGACTCTTTGGGGAAGGTAAGCAGCCAGTCTGGGTTATAAATCCGTTCTCTGCTTCGCATACACAACCAATACTGTTATTTACGACGATTAAATTATGAAGTATGCACTGCTTATGGGGACTAAAGTCGTTATTTACGAGGATATCGCAGCTTTCAGGTCTGCTGAGGGGAAATGATGAGGTGGACCGGAGACAGAGTGAGCGGCTGGTGGGCTTTCATTCCAAGAGCAGCAACAAAAATCCAAATCAGGAGTCTTTTAAGCCTCAGTCGCGACTCTGGCGCCCATACTTGGCCTTTGGAGCTTGAATTCACCATGTTCCTCTGTCCTTCAGGCTTAAAGAGACCAATATTTCCAGCGCATCTGGACAGCTTCCTCTGACTATCAGCGACCCAGTAAGGACCAGACTGAAAAGCATAAACTTCTTTAAAGTTTGATATATTAAATGTGTAATCTGTGACAGTTAAGTTGCAATTCACAGCTCCAAACTGTAGATGTGGTGTGAATGAGTTCCAGTCACTACCAAATGTGTGTAAGGGTGTAGGCCTGGTATTCTCAGTTTATACTAAGTGCCCCTCAATCTGAAAGTTGCATGTGTTAGTTCAAACTGGAAAGCATTTTGTTTTCCAATGACACAATCCCAAATTTGTGCAGTATTTCCAACATATCTATAGTAGAAACCGATTTTGCTTTCCAATCACAGATGCTCGGGATATTTTGCATCAAAATGGCTTCTCCTCAGACCGCAGGCAGAGGGAATTTTAATTTTGGGAGGGCCTCCGCCCTGCAGGCCGGGCTGCCAACCCGACAGCGCGTAAAATGGAGACAACGGTGCTGAAAAAAAGCTTGGAGACATTACATAAAAACCGATTGCATTTCCTACACGTCGCCTCAGTGTTAGGACCAAGTAACTCCCTCCACACACACATAAACACAGGTTCCGTTAACTAACGCATGTGGTTACATCACAATATATGTGCTGGTATTGTTTTCTCGTAACATTGATCCCAAATTTGAAAGTGAAGGCTACTTTTGGTATTATGAAGAGAAAATGTTTTTTCCATCATTCACTACTCAGGTTGACGCAGATTAATCGGGCCACTGGGGGGTCATTTGTGACCAAAAGCGGGACTTTATGCCAGGATGGCCTACTATTCAGATTACAGCCTCACCAGCTCACTCCCAGCACTTGTTTTATCTCCCTCCAGACTGTCAAGCTGAAAAAACAGTAACAAAATAAAGCAGTTGGGAAAGCCACATCATAAATCTGTAAAGTTCTAATACGAGTTTATTAGAAGTCAATGATTTTATGTGGCCAAATCAGTCATCTAATGGCTGTTTAGGTTTACAAGCTACCAATAAAAGTATTTACAGTACAAAAAATGGCATTTATAGTGTCTCATTGGCTTTTCTAGCATAGGATTTGATATTAATTCCCCAAAACAAGTCAGTGAACAAGCATAAAACCAGCCGGGTATTATTATTATTATTATTATTATTATTAATATATGTTAGCGGTCAATTGATTTTCCTGTAGCAAAAGCCTTCATTTCCACCACATCTGGATTTAGAAAGAGTAAATCTAGACCGTATTATTCCTAATTACAATTTACGCATCCACGGGGTATTTTATTTTGAAAGTGAAATATTATCTACCAGAAGACTTAAAATGCAGGCACTGCCTGTAAGGAGAATGTATAACATTATAATCAGTTAAATGTATATATATATATATATATGTTTAAAATCTTCTACCAGTTTATTGTTATCTGGTAAATCTGTATTGCTGCAGTAGAAGCAAACACGTTTGACGCAAAGTCAACAATGAAATAAGGGTCAAATCGATGCTAATAGGTTATTCCAGCAAATACAATTACAAGATAATGGGCAGATATCCTGCAACAGGAAACTCAAAAACGACGGAATTTTTGTTTTAAAACAAGAAATGATCAAGTCCCAGACCCGTTTGCTGCTTTAGAGTATTATCACGCTTTGGCCAAAATATTTTTTATTGAAAAATAAAGTTTTATATACTTAATATTTGATCAGAAACAATTCAAAAAATATTTTTGTGCGTGATGTATTTTTAACTTCAGTTAATGTAATGTGTGTGTCTGTGGTTCCGCCTTGTAATCGTCTAGTAAAAACCAGTGATCATTATCCTGCTAATAAAGGACTATAACTGGTTTAATTAGAAATGTGTTTATAATACTGACATTTTATCTTTAATTTTGTTCCTTTTAACAGTGTGTAAATGCTGCTTCAGAAACAACCTGGTTCATAAATACTTTGTTTTACAGCTTTTGTACTTACTACTCGATCACGTCTGTTAACGGTGATGTCTGGATTAGGTGACCAGTGAAATACACGGTGCAGCCTATTTAACATAACAAAGAAGGTGACTGTTCCAAAGGCAGGTCTATATAGGCTATTTTAATTTAAAAGTGTTCATAAAACAGTATATTTCAACCTAAACATTTCAGTATACCTTGGTATTTCCAGTATAGTAAAACACAACGTATCAATATTTGACCTGATTGATGTAGCCCTGAGCCTAAATATTGATTCTATATGCATTCATGTCTAAGGTAGAGTAAACCTTACCACAGGAAACACTGAGTGATGTGTAATTTAAAACCTTAACATTTAGCACAATATGTAAAGACTGATACAGGCTTTCTAGTCTGATGGGAAACAACAGCAATAGATGCTTAGCAGTGCTAGCTACTGAGCATGATAACCTGATACAAGCTATATATTTTAATAACAGTACATGCCAGGGCCTCATAGATCATGTACAGCATTGCATTTCTCAGCTGAAAAGCCCGAGGAGGCTCCAGGGTTTCTCCCTGAGGGTCTTTAGAGCTCACATGGTAAACTTGTCTTTGTAAATGAAGTCAGTAGAGAGGTATTAACTGACTGTCCGCGGCAGCAAGGAAAAGCAAAAATGTATCATGATGTGAAGCACAGGCAATGAACAGTGACTAGAAATGCCCCGAGACACATCTACCTGACAAAAGTCCAGCTGTGATCCGCTGTGTATGTGTGTGTGTGTGTGTGTGTGTTTGCACCATCTTGCTTCAGTGAAAATAAAATCTGATAAAATTTATAAAGCTTTCTATGGAGCAATGTGGACAAAACATACAAATGTGATACTGTTACAACCCCTAAGATGTCTAGGGCAGTGGTGTTACTCGCTGTCTATACTGTGTAACATGTATGATAGCTACAGTATGTTACTGCCTCAGCGTCCATCTATTAACCCATCATACATAGATATGTGTCAGAGGGGTCCAATCCTATGTGTGGTTTAGCAGCTACATCTTCATTGTCTCAGTTACTCCTGCCTCTATTTCTGTCTCAGTTAATAAGTATATAATGGTTTAGTGCATGTGCTATATGATGTGCTGTAGACTTATGGTATTATGTGCATGCAATGTGTGTGTATGTAAGAGAGGCAAACACATTTTTGAAAGCAGTCGTACACTGTGATCCGTAGAGAACCTGTTTGTTATTACTTTACATAGAATAAATGAAAAAAAAGTATACTATTTTGAAATTCCTGACTTTGAAGAAACCCATATAACCCTTCACCCCTTGAAAATGACATTTTATGTTTTCTGGAGCTGATCACAGTCTTATGACAAACATCACTTCCAATTTACAGACCCTACAAAATCAATCAGATGTTGATACAAGTGTATGGT